TACTCTGCCGTGTATTAATCTCTTAGTACATGAAACGTTCCACAACTCGATATATAGGTCAGTCGATATGACCATATTGATTATCTCCCATGTAAAATCGCACAATACGTAATGTTCGCTATCAGTAACCAAAATTGTTTGGATAACACACATTTATATAAAAATTTGTTCCATTTTATTAATAACTGCAGTTTAATATGTTAACAAATTTTATTGTAACTATGTCAATAAATTGTTAAAGGTATAATGCGGCGGATGTTACATAACCATAGCAATTATCTCCCTCCACGTGCACAATCAAATTTGTTAAGTAAATGCTTTAAATATTACTATTGTCGAAATGGTGTATGCAGTATGAAAAAATGTATGTAAAATTCACACTTTCGTTATCAACATGATTTAAACTCAATATTAAATTGAGAAAGATTATAATCTGTCAAATTATCTACAACACTTGTTATAGATCTAATCTAATAAGTAAAGTCAGTTCAATTGGATTTTTGTCACACTTTATTATTCTTTTAAATCTCATGTTGCATATATACTTTTGACAGATACGACGAAAATGTGAATTATTATAAACATGTACATCATGTAATAGGTGAATATATATGTTTTCATTTCCTATGTAAAATGTGCTACTGTAATGCATGTATGAGATCATGTCAACATAGTATTGATGCACGTTTGCCATATTATATATTTTGCAAAGTGTACAACATAGGTTTATGACCTTCTGGGAAAAGATAAATAAAATTGTTAAAAAACTTGTTAAAACTTGTTATCAAAGTATTTTGAATAAAGCAACGTTAAAATGGTTTCCTCAAATGATTAACCCTGTTTTTCTTGCATTGTTTAGGATTTAACCATTGATAGGTTGAAAGAGACTGTCTATTTTTAAAACGTTATTATATATACAGTGTGTGTAAAGTAATAGTGTTTTATATAACATATTTTTCAAATATCATTATGTCACAGGGTGAGAAAAATGTGCAGCCTGACCGGGACTCGAACCCTGGACCATCGGTATATGGTACCGCGGCTCTACCGACTAAGTTATCCGGCCGCTTACACATCTTCTCCCGTAAATAGTGAACAGTTCTGAACCGTGACATACTCCCCTGCTATATTGAAATTCGTCCTCGAATTTCAAAGAGTTACAGAGCAATGTGAATTACACTCTGAGCTATATTCAGTCCCCCGTTGGGCGCCAAATGTAACAGGGTGAGAAAATTGTGAAGCCTGACCGGGACTCGAACCCGGGACCATCGGAATACCGTACCGTGGCTCTACCAACTAAGCTATCCGGCCGCTTATACATCTTTTCCCCTAAATAGTGGACAGTTACGTGACAATTATAAACGAGTAATGCTTAGTAACTCTAGAAACGGATCGTCATTTATAAGCTAGTACCAGTTTAGTATGACCAATATTCTGATAAGTACCCTAGTAACTTTCTAACATACAACAATTCATTTCAGTATTACTTTAATACTCTGGTGCATCGAGATAATTAATCGAGAATCTCTCACGAACAATCTCGATCAGAACACGTCTGCATTTTTCATTTTTTTCTGAAAAGGAATCTTCCCTTTACAAGAGTTTTGTGACAATTGCAAAAAAAAAATATAAATTAATTGACGTTTAATTAAAGACTTGGTATTAAAGATCAACACACACCACTTTCTTTATTACTAAAGATTATTTTAAAAGATCCTGAGATCAACTGTATGTTTTATTAGAAACATGCTAATTTATTTGTTATAATGCTGACACTTAAATCTCAGTTGCACTGTAAATGTAAATGTTCAAGAATAGAAAACACCTTTAAAGCTGCACGCTTCCAGATGAACAAAAATGTTTCGATAAAGTCAAACATGGGAAAAATGTACTAACATTTTATAAAAAGTATAAAGATTCAAAATTCTAGTAATAATTTACATGTTATGTGCGATTAATGACCGTTTTTTTCATTATTTATAACTACATTTCTACTGCGTTACTAACGCAGTAAGGGCTATTTTTGCACATTTTGACCTCTTAATGGTAATTTACGCGGATTGTAAGTGCCATTGATAATGTGAAACTTTCATTATTTTGGTAACTTCACAATATTATACTGTTAAATACATTTTCAAATTTTCAGGAAAATTAGCATGAATCTATTTGCAACAGATACTCTTCAAACACTTCAATGAACATTCAAAAACTGTATTGATAGATCGATCAACATATTCGTAGCTGCTTATTGATTCTACAGGTATGCTTAGGATGTTACCTTATTCGAATATGCGTTACCTTTTTATGCACAATCAAAACTTCAATTATGAAGAAAGGGATTAAAAATATGATACAAACAATTTCTTTGGAATTTTCTCTTTTTCAGCTTGAGTTAAGCGTTATATTGCTAATATACCGCGTCAAAATCCAAACAAGGATAAGAATTGTCCAATATATTACAATATTTTTTTTCAGAAGAATCAAATCAGTGAAAAGTAAACATTTATTTCATTTTATACATCTAGATCTATATGCAAAATAAAGATCTTGTTTGCAACTTGGTGTTTGCAGCACAATGGAAGGGAGTGAGTTAGCTGTATGGAATGTCTTTTTATATATTACCTGATAACTATAAATCAGTATATTATTTTTAAGTTCAGTAATATTCATTCAACTTATATTCATTTCAAATTATGTAGAATAGTTTTGACACTGTGAATCAGATCTTTGCAGTGAACCATTGCCAACATCCATCGTCACAAACCAAATTCAACTTTTGTTTATTTGACCGTAAAATAGAATACAGGTATTAACAAAATATATCACTACAGAAAATTGTTTCTACTATATATATATTCTTTATTATACGTAGTCTCATCTATACATATTTAAACATAAACAAACATCTAACGAGAACAATGTTTAACCATATAAGACACATCATGTCTAAATTCATTTATTTTTGCCGACTTAAGATAACAAATTGGCGAGTCTGTTTATACCAAAATGCTTTATGTGCGTGAGGCATTCAACTTCGTAATGAAATAACTTAAATATTTCGAATGGAAATTGAAAGACTAGAGTTGAGAACAAAAATGTTTAAGACATTATTTATTGTCTACAACATTGACATAATACGCATTACAAATATTTTAAGGAAGCTAAATGATCGTGTGATACTACATTTTAGCTGTGAATACGATAACCTTTTCGTTACACTCAACATTCAAGCTGTTTTGTTTGTATTAAAGTCATACAGATCATTTTAAAGCATATTTTCCTTGATTATATCTCATGTTAAGTTATGGTGAAACAAAAGAAAAATAACAAAGAAAAAACTAAGGAAAAATAAAACCCATCTTTTTACAAAAGAGACGCCTGGCTATGTTTCGTTTTTTCTAAAAGCAAATAACTTTTGAACTATTTAAAACAGTGTACACGTTAGACTTCGTGCTATTTCTCACATGCAATGTATGTACTTGATGTTATTTTCATAACTATAGATAAAGACAATAGTAGAGTACAATTAGATTAAATATCCCCTAAATCCTTAGTTATAGCATATAGCTATCTCTGATCTCTGGCGATCCTTCGGTCAAAAACCGGCACTCGGCGTACACTCATAAAAAGCCGAGGTACGCCCCTGGGCTTCTTAAATTATTTCTGTAAATATTTTGCTCCAGTTTCTGTAGATCTATACAGCAGTTCAAAGCGTTCAGCACTGCTTGAAACAACAGTATACATGTACTTAGATCTACTCGCTATCCTATTAAAATATAAAGAAACAAAATATATCATTTAAAGAACTACACACAAAATTTAAAATTCATTTATCTAAGCATCTAAACAACCCCGACTGCTCAGAAAAATCTACATTCTCACATATCTACTCCTTGTAAAAATAATAGAGACACGTTATGCCATTGTGAACTACAACAACATGTCGACTTAGTTCTATACTGTACATAAACCATTTTAATAAAAATTAAATTTATGGATACTAATAAAGTATATGTTAGATCTACTTGATTAAAGTTTATACCGTATTTTTCTTCAATTTTAGTGTAGAGATAATCTAACTTCAGCTTCAATCGCAACTACGCGGCACTTACCGTCAGTATTCGGATAAAGAACCAACCTGTTGACATTTAGTAGGATTTGTTTAAAATTGAACATCAGTGGGCATATTTAAATTACAAATTCTTGTCAGACATATTCAAGCATAAGAGTAACGGAACAGACATTAGATGTCAAATATATACATTCGTTTTACTGTTTACATCTAAAACCACGTGGTAGAACTACTTTCAATCCGTATTGTTCCCGAGGTTATTATAGATAATAGCCGTGGCAGTTCTGAATGCTTCAGCTTGCGTTTCGCCGACGCTTACTTGTTGTTGTTGTACTTGAATTGGTGCACTCGTGCGAATGCTCATTATGACGTCACAAATTGTCACAATTCTATTTTTAGACGCGTTCTGAATGAACGCAACTGTTCATATTATGTTCAACTTTATAATGTTTTAATTACTAAAGCACCATTACTTATTGAATTATGTAAATCTAACATCAGTTACAATACATTGACCAAAAAACATGCCCAATACTCAAAAGCTCAAATACTTTTCATGTTGTCTAGTCAGAAGGACTGCCATTGAACACTGACGTTCAAGTTATAAGTGTTCAACTCGTACATTGAACGCCTTCGCTGAACACAGGTATTCAAAATATAACGCTAAATATTCCAAAATTGAACAATTGTGAACGCGATCGGTGTTCTCCTTATTTACAGTGTGGGAAGTGCGGTCTATGTAAAGAAAAATCATACTGTTTTCTTCAAACTGTATCTAACATGTCTAAGGGATTTCCTTCAATACCGTATTTCAGTGCATTTATGCTAAACAATTACCCTAAAAATTTATTACGGGCCTCATATTCAAATAACAAAAAAATCCTCTGTATAAATACAATTTTTTCTCTCAGCGATTATGATTCAGATACCTTTTCTGATTTTATTTTTCAACTGTCGTTATCAAAATGGGTTTCTCATTATTATTTTCATTTGTTATTGTCGTTGGAATATATAATTGTTCTGAGGCTAGAGAGCCTGTATGTTCTAAATTTGCATATGAAGAACAGCTTTTAGAGAAAATGATAAGGACTGAAATTAAGGTAGAAACAATGGTGAATGAAATTAAGAAAACTGAGGAAAATGTCATCAGTACATTAGGTGACATTAAACGAGCAGTTGCTGATTTTACGGACATGTTTGCAGACATGAAGGAGAACATAACCGATGAAATAGAAAGGAGAGAAGGTAAAATATAAACATCCGATCTACATTTTTAGAAACTGATATTTGCATGCTGATGTAATACGAAAAATGACTGATATCTTTAGCATATTATTTACAACTGATTGTTGTTTAAATCTGAATCAATATAACGTAATAGTTCGTAATTCTTTATGAAAACTGAAATAAGAAAATCTGCAATATGATAAATGCTTGGAGTATTTCAAATTAAAAAAAAAACATTAGATTTTAAAAGAAGAGATTTCATACATAACGATTACTTTGCCGACAAAATCTCTATGTTTATGTACTTAGAGCAAAATTGCATTGCTGCAAACTTATAACATATTTTCAGTTTGCTTAAAACGGAGCGTTAAATTACATTATTATAAACATAAATCAATAAAAAGGTGGAAAAGAATCATGTAAAAATAACAACAATAAAAAATTGAGTGTTTTTTTATTGTAATGATTGATGATTAACAGCCCCATATTCAACATTTTGCTAGTGCGAGCATGAACATGTTTAAAATTTATCAAAAAATAATTGTAATTCTTCTGCCCTATTGTGTCGTGTGTTTACCTCCAGCTTTATCAAAGAGCGCTGCTGTAGTTTTAAATTTGATTTGCGATATTTATGTTTGTATGTATACTTCTGTTCTAAGTAAAACATGAATTACAGTGAAAATTTATGTGACGATGAATATACCAAACAAACATGTTTCCATGAAGGAAAACGCTTAATCATCATCATTACGTTTTCTTGTTAGGGAACATATTCCCTGATTTTTATTATATTTATTTTATATTGAATTACGTCAGGAAATGACTAACACGTCAGCCAATAGAAATTCGAAAAATTTCATTTGAAATTCGATTATAGAAGAGGAGCGAGGAAAATCAAAATATAAATTAGACTGGTGTTTCTCTTCACTAAAGTTTTATTAAAGAAGTAACATTACTGGCTATGTAAAATTCAGGTTGTTTGTTTTCAGCATATATAATACTTATTGAACTTTGATTACCGAGAGTAAGTGCACTTTAATACTTTTGTTACAGAATCCTTCAAGAAGTTATTTGAGGAAACAAGAACAAACCTAACGAGTGACATGGAAGCTAAAAGAGAAGAACTTACTCAATTACAAGGTATCACTTTTCATGTTACGTCCAAATGATAATTAATTTCCAAAAACTGTGTTTTGATTTCATGATTCAGTTGATTTCATGATTCAGTTGGTTTTATGATTCAGTTGGTTCTTTTGAAGTTCAATCATGGACAATATTTTAACAATAATCAGTTTGATAATTTTTTGATATTCGACCAACCTGTTGTTGTAAATATAGACTAGTCCTTCCAATCATAATACAACTGATTCAATAACATGTATTTTTTCTTATTTTGAATACATTTAACCATGTTTATTTTCATGACGTATTTTTATAAAAAACTCTTCTATATCACAATTACTTTTATACTCAGAAAAACTTGAACGACCTCCGATTGTTTTCCATGCACATCACGTGGCAGATAAGCTTCTTGATAAAACAGATGAGATAATTATATTTACGAAAAGTGTGATTAACGAGGGAACAGGATACGACACTTCTACTGGAATATTTACAGCACCTGTTGGAGGACTGTACCAGTTTTCTGTGCATACATGTGCTTATATTGGAAAATATGCCTTAATTGGTCTAGTGTTAGAAGGTAAAGTTATTGCAGCTGATATGAACTATGATAAATATTATCATACCTGTAATACTGTTGCAGCAATAGTGAGAGTAAGATCAGGAGAAAAAGTTTGGGTCAAATCAACAGCGTCAGGTTCAGTCCATCAGCTTTTACAAAACGCAGACGCGATGAACACATTTAGTGGACTGCTTCTCAATAACTAAATGAATGAATAAATTCAACATTGATATCAGTAAAAGTCCTTTTTCTATATTTGTATTTGACTTCACATAACAACGTTTTTGTGCAAATTGTTTCATTTATCAAACAAATTAATAGCTTTTTCATGAAATAAGTAGAAATTCTAGGTTGTTTCTAAAATATATGTAGAAGTTATAAAGAATATTAATCATGTATTGTTCACGTTGCTTATTATTGAAAGCCAAAATATCTAACCTTAATATTGAACAATAATTCTTTCTTCTGAAAAAATGTGTTGGCGATTCATTAAATACTCCTGACATCAAATCTAAACTTTCTTTTTACTGAATGCGGTATTCAACAACGACGTCGGGGTTGCATAGAAACAAATATGTATGTATGATGTATTTTCGGCTTTTTACAAGGCTTTCATAACATATTTGGCTTTTATCGCCTTTGCAAATGTATTTTTTCATGGCCGTTCATATATTTTGACGTGACTTCATTTGAATTATACAGACATAACGTAAAAGCACACTAAATGTAACTTTGTAATGTATCAATGAAAGATGGTATACATTGAATATATTATATTCGTTTATCTTTATAACAAATTACTTTTTGATATAATAATGATATTGTCCTCGCCAGAAACTCGCTTAAACTGGTATTGAACCTACTCTCATTCAATATCCTCTCTATATTCGTATATCTGTAATAATACATCTATGATTAAATAATTTTCATTTCGCTACAAAGTGTATAGCATTTAAATGTTGATATACTAGTAAATAATTTATTATCGTGACATGCATATACTACAATACACATCTACAAGAAAAATAAATATAGACCTAGTCCCATGGGCCTTTAAGTCATCAGAAATCATATAATAATAATCGTCATTATGTGTTTACACATACGAGGGGTGTTCAATAATAACGCCTAAAAGTGCCACTATTTCCTTTTTATAAGTTTCCTGAATAAAACATATACAGTTTTAAAGACAATTATATTTTGAAAATATACAACAACATTGTTCTATATTGATGTTCTGAGACACTTGTTTATGAGGACGATGAGAAAGAAACGGAGAACAAAAAATCGCCGATATTCCATCACGATTTTATTGAATTTTTGTGTAAACGTTAACTCTATGACAGCACTTTTCCACGTATTTATAGTACACCCTCGTATACTATGGCTTATTTTCAAATACAAATTTGAGCCAATTTGTATATTACTGACGAACTTAAGAAGAGCGATTAATAAATAAGACTTGTGTATCTTCATTATATTTTATTGAGGATGTTTCGCTTTCTTTTCTTGTGGTAATGCTTGTCACATATGAATAAAGTTGTCCCAAATACTTGGATATCAACATCTTTGAGAGACATCGAAAAAGGAAAGAAAAGAAATGAGTGAAATAAAAGGTCAACATCGTATTCCATTTATATTCATTGACACGACTGTCATATAATTTTAACAGTTGTGTATCTTCGTAAATATACAAAAATATTGTTTTGCAAGGAACCCATGCACAAACATGTTTTTGTATAATGCAACATACAGAATGAATGGCATAATTTACTTAGATATTTAGTTGTAACATAATTGCTAAACTACCTGCGTATGTGTATGAAGGAGTATGATGTATTTGTCAGGGTTTTTTAAGGTTGACTAAAATATAGCTTGTATAATGGTTACATCCTTGACAATATAGAAGTATAATCACTTAATCAGAACACATATTTTACGTATGTACTATTTTGATAATGATATCTTTCATGTTTTTGTTTTCACTTATGTTTCTACAAAGGGAAGTAAAACAGATTGCAACCAGTGTTTGATAATAGTACTTGTTATTTCCCTTGCATTGAAAAGCTATATCATAGATATTGTTGCTTAAAATTTTGGACGGTTTTATTAAACTAGTCACTGCCAATATTTTTCCATCAAATTTACGATTTTGATGAAACCGGTAAGAAAATCTCAAATAGTTGGAGGCCAATAAAGATATACATAAATAATAGAAAGAACTATCAGGTTAGTTATCAGTAAAGAGGAAAGTGACATGAATATATGTTTATTTTTTATTAGGGATAATTGTAATAAGGCATTTTCTTACTTTGATGTAGAGGAGCGTCGAGTAGTGTTAGTCATATCACTTCAATTTTTTTTCTTTTTTTTGCACTTAGGTAACAGCACTTATATCCAACACGGAATGTTATATTTTCTCTACACGTAAAAGTTGGGGCCTCAAAAATAGAATAAAAAAAGAAGGGCAGTCTGACCGGGACTTGAATTGAATCAGGTACCATCGAAATACCGTACCACAACTCTACCGATTGAGCTAACAGATCGCTTACACATTATCTCACCTACTTAGTGAACAGTTTTGAACTTCGAAAATAGAAATTAGCTTCAGAAATAAAAGGTCCGAAGTTTGAGGTCAGCTAAATGTCCCATTAATTTTCTTATATGAGAAGTGGTTCTTAAGGCCCATTATACAACAAAAATATTTTTATTTCCTTAACTTTCTGTGTGTCCTGTTATAATTTCTGTAACACATTGCCAATTCTTTGAGCAATCTTTTGTTATTGTCGCTTTTCGGCAATAAGTACAGATACAGTGATTTTGTATGGAAGTCAAATACTACTTTCTTGACATATTTTCCTTCTTCTATGACAAAAAGTTCTCATTCAGCTCTAATTCATTTTTTATTAGAAGCATTTGACATACTCTAAAGCAAACATTTGAACGCCATGAAACTCGTGTATGCCGTAAGCATTTATTCGTTTCAATGTCAAAAATATGGCATGAAGTAATAAGCCAATATATGCAAAAAGGACAACATGCATGTATTTCAAAAATGGGCAAAAACGCGTAAATTAACGATATTTTAATGCAAATAATTCCTCTGTGTTCTAACATGAGACTTTTCTTTTATGTATAGAATATACAACCCTTTAAAATAAACAACCGGTTAAAGAAATGATTACACAGTTACCCAGTTACGTACCGATTGAAGTTTGATATCAAGATGCGATATACGTATACTTCTGTGAATTGTCTAAATTATCACAGTTCCTAGATAAAATTAACGGTTGATATCTTTAAAATCCTTAAGAAATTAAACCTCTTATAAACTTGAGATCTGTTCTATGCCTTGATTTATCTAGCCATAAAATTCGTGACCTAAACTTCCAATGAATTAATCGCAATTTATTATCATCACGTTTAAGATGCAGATATAACTTGAAAATATAAGCATAATTATCTTCCCGAACATACAAAGACTTACGAGTCAGACGTTTAGTTAATATTTAGTATTTAAAACTAGATGTACCGTTTCTTTATTTCAATCTGTATTGAAAAAAAAAAGTAAATATCTTCACATACAGATGCTGTGGTAAGAAATCGTATCATTAAATTAAGATGTTGATTGTATATCTTTTTTACGTCTTTTTCTTTTTCTTATTTCACTCTGTAAAGAGTGAGCGGTACAAGAAAAGAAAACAGTACGCAGAAGTTAAGACTATTTTAGAGAACCATGTTTTGATGCACGTCTGTGTTATCGTTACGATAAATAACTGTTTTTAATGGATAATTAAAGATAAATGATTAAGATAAATCTTTCGATATTTCTACATTACAAGAATTTACTTTCTATACTTAAGAATATATTTTAAGTGTAAAATGTTACCTCTATATATTTAAAATATACAACTAGTATGTAAGCTATTACATACTTAGTCTGTATTATGTTTTGTATGCTTAAGTAAGACAATTATTAATATATGTAGATACAGATGTGTAGAAAATCAAGTTAAAATGAGCGCATATTCACCACGGTAATATGTGCTGTTGTGTTATCTGTCAAATAGAGAAGAAAACTATATAACTATACAACTTTACTAAGAATTAATGATACACATAAAAAGTGTGGGTATGGAAGAAGACAAAGTTGACATCTTATTTCATTCCAGCAGGACCTAGATATACAATATAAAAGTGTATGGCAATTATATATATCGTCATCTTAGTTTATGAAAATTATAACATTATAATATTTAATTTATAATTGTTTATTATATTATAATATCAACTATTGTAAGTTTATTTCACTATAAGAATACTCTTTGTGCCTGTACAGCTAATGCACAGACGAACAACCTTCCAGTAATAAATGCTACAAGTGAATAGCAACTTTTACTAATAAAGTCAATAGGTTCATTATTATTTTAAAATATCCTGTTATGTATTATATGAGCACTATTTTTAAACAACAATATTTAAATTGAAGAAACGTTTGCATCTATTCTTTTTTTCTTCAGTTATATGAATGTTTGATTTAGCAAGCTGGAACCTATTATGACAGTGTATAATCTATTTTGAAATGAAACAGAAATTTGAGGGAAAAATCGGATATGAAGGCAAATGAAATATTTTATAACCTTTCTAGCCTTTCTTGATTGCATAAAGAGAATTAAAATCAATCGGGTTTTGGTTAAGTAAGTAAAAGATATACTGATTACTTTTGATTTATGCGAAAAGGTTCCGGGGAGGAAAGAATTCACACGTAGGAAATTAATCAGACAAGAGTAGCATAAAAATGAACTTCTTATTGGATTTTTTAAAGATTAGTTGCTCATACGAATATAATGTACCGATTCTTATCAAAAAGCATATGAAACAAATATAAAAGAGATAACCGAACGCCAAAATGAGGGTATACCATTAATCATGTTTCTCTCCAGTAAATAAGGTTATACATCTACAATGTATACTCATAACAACCTTAATTAATTTAAGCAAAACTGAATCATTTTAAATACTGGCGAATAAATTTTGTTGAAAAGTAACGAATGAGGACATAACTGAGAAGACAACATGAGAAAGTAAGCATTAAAACAATAAAAAACCAATATCCTTACGCATACGAGGACATGGTTGTAATGATTGACAGATTTTCAATAGTTTTTTTTGGAATTCTTTCGTCACGTTCACTTTTGCAATGTTTTTTATTATCTTATAAAATTTAATTATTGTGTGTGTTTTATTTACAACTTGTAAACAATAAAATAAAACATAAAAACTGTTCACTGCATATCTCTCTCATTTATTATTATAACAGTCTTAATTAACAGATAAATATCAAATTTGTGCTATTCTAGGCTGACGTTTAAGCTCATTACAATACATTTGCCATATACTTTTTTTTCCAAATATAATTCCAGCAGTTAATATTTTGAAGCAACAGCTCAGTAAACTATACGGCGAAAAAGTTACTTAGGATGAACTGTTTATAGATAATTTACATTTATGTTCTTTCAGACTGCAATATAATTATTTGTTTATCATATTATTCAATGTTTCCTCGTCATAATAAATGATACCGAGATAAAATAGAGAAAAACAGAATCCCTAAAGAAAGTCCAACACAACAAAATTGAAAGTGTTGCAGGCTCGGTTTGATTGAGCCTGTTCATGGACGGTACTGGAATGTGCAAGTTACCGTCCACGCCCCCTAGCACCGGCTTAAGCAGAATTTAAAATTTAACACGAACATGGTAAAATTTTGAATTTAGAAACATCCGCATATATGTTCATACGGCTGTTTTCATGGAACCTTCAATGTGACACAGTAGTGACATTCCATGAAAAGCGGCGTATGGTCCCCAAGTAAAAGAATGCTTTTGCCCTAAACGAGAAAACAATGGGCGGAACTAAATGAAGCCTATGAAGATGGGTTTTTTCTATAGCTTCTAAACATTCACACTACCAGAGTTACAAAAATATAAAATCGAAGAGATATACATATACATTTAAAGGATATGTATTTTATAAGACGACTACATAATATCCCAAAATAATCGCGGAAAGGCTACCATTGAAAAATATCATTTCATTGTACTTGACGTATACTTTTCTTAGGATTAAATAGCAGCTTTTAATATTTTTATGTTAAATATAAGTAAGCATGCCAATAAGCAAATTGATTTACAATTGAACATTTTTATGCTGCCATTCATATGTATTGAAAAATGATATATTCAGAAATTTTATTAACGCTACGTTTCATAGCATTTATTTCACGTTGAAAATTATTAACAACATCCCGATATCAATTAAATTGGTTCACACCCAACAGAAAATTTATACGAGGAACCATGTAAAATGACCAGTTTGTTAAAAGATGAGATTTTTATGATTCTAGGAAAGAGGCCACAGGAGATATTTAAATTGAACGTATTCTCTGAAATAATCTCTGGGTTTATAAGAGTATAAAGATACGCGTTGAATGATTAAGCAACGAGAAAACGAATAGTGTATGTGAAGTTGTCAGCCGGGCTGTTAGCTCGAAAATTGTACATTAAAATATGCTAAATGTTTCAATATAGACGACGATAATTTTCCGTTTTCCTTTCACAATTAATTTCAATGTGTTTCGTTTTTTTAGAAGTTGAGTATTGCAAACAGAAAATAGAGACAGGAAATATTTGTCATATATGTTACTACGTGCTAACCAAGGTTATTTTCATTTTTGTTTTGGATGAAAGTATTGTTTAGAATTCAAGAGTAACATAAATTAATTGTTTTTTGTGTAATTTGCCGCGTTGTGTTGTTGGATAGTGTGTGATCATAAAAGATCATGGTGCGCTTACTATATTTGCAAATCTGGTTATGATTTAAATATTCTCATTTTAATGAAAAGTTCTATATATCATGACGTGCTCCTTCAATTCCATTCAACGTATAGCACTAAAATGTTAAAGGCAACCATTTAATTAAGTATAGAATAACAAAGTAACTTACAAAGCACCTTTTCGTAAAGACTTGAAACTTGGGCATCTATTACTGGGAATATGCTATATGTTCTTATAGAATATCAAATACATCCTGGTAAAAATAACACTTCTTGGATTTTTGTAAGTTAAAGTAATGAATTTCATTGATGCTCTTATCATGCTGCCAACAGATTTTATCAGGGTGTTGTAAAGACACGCCTTGTTGTTTTATTTTTTCTTCACGAGATTCCCATGAAATGCGAACAAACTTATTGACTACATGTCCAATGTAAAGATAGTTTTACAGAATATACGCCCAAATTCTTAAAAAACAACAAATAGATAACGATAAGAAGATAGAATCATGATGTTATCCGCTAATTTATATTTTGTATATACTATTTTTATACAAGCAGGTTCGGACTAGGGTTAGGAATTCATCAGTTCATTTACGTCCATTTTATAGTAAAAATCCTACTTTTTTATGCTGCTTCCAATTAAAAATCAATGTAGCAAATACGTCAAATTGATCATTTTACAATATTAAAGTCCATGTATCATCAATTTATTTTCTTGAAAAAGATCTAAATAGTCATACACCAGAGACAACATTTTAAACCCCCTTCCTGTGAATCTTGCTAATCAACTGCTACGACTGGTTATAACATGTGTTAAGTCTTCGCAATTTAGAAACTACGATAAGCAATTATATCAAAGTATTCTGAATAAAGCAACGTTAAAATGGTTTTTTCAAATGATTTTTAGGATTTTTTAACCATTGGTAGCATAGGTTGAAAAAGACGTTAAAACGTTATTAACAATGTGTGTAAAGTAAAAGTGATTTTTATATAACATATTTTTCAAATATCATTATAAACGAGTAATGCTTAGTAACTCTAGAAACGGATCGTCATTTATAAGCTAGTATCAGTTTAGCATGACCAATATTCTGTAAACTACATCAGTAACTTTCTAACATTCAACAATTCATTTCAGTATTACTTTAATACTCTGATGCATCGGAATAATTAGTCGAGAATCTCTCACGAACAATCTCGACCAGAAAAAGTCTGCATTTTTCATTTTTTTTTCTGAAAAGAAATATTCCCTTTACAAGAGTTTTGTGACAATTCCAAAAAAAAAAAAATAATTTGAATTGACGTATAATTAAAGAATTGGTATTAAAGATCAACACATCACTTTCTTTATTACAATATATTATTTTAAGAGATCCTGGAATAAACTGTATATTTATCAGAGACATGCTAATTTATTTGTAATAGTGCTGGCACTTAAATCTCAGCTAGGAAGTGCGGTTTATACACATTGAAGGTTCCATGATTACCGCCGTATGAACACATCTGCGGATGTTTCTAAATTCAAAATTTTACTATTTCACGTTTAAATGTTGAATTCTGCTTAAGCCGGTGCTAGGGGGCGTGGACGGTAATTTGCACTTTCCAGTACCGTCCATGAACAGGCTCAATCAAACCGAGCCTGCGACATTTTCAATTTTGCCGTGTTGGGCTTTCTTTAGGGATTTTGTATTTGTCTATTTTATGTAAAGAAAAATCAAACTGTTTTCCTCAAATTGTATCTAAGGGATTTCCTTCGATGCCGTTTTTCAAGTAAAGAAAAATCAAACTGTTTTCCTCAAACTGTATCTAAGGGATTTCCTTCGATACCGTATTTCAGTGCATTTATGCTAAACAACTATACTAAAAATCTTATTACGGGCCTCATACTCAAATAACAACGCAGATTCCCTTGTATAAATACAATTGTTTCCCTCAGCGAGTAAGATTCAGATACCTTTTCTGATTTTAATTTCCAACTGTCCTCATCAAAATGGGTTTCTCATTATTATTTTCATTTGTTATTGTCGTTGGAATATATAGTTATAATTTTTCTGAGGCTAGAGAGCCTGTATGTTCTAAATTTGCATATGAAGAACAGCTTTTAGAGAAAATGATAAGGACTGAAATTAAGGTAGAAACAATGGTGAATGAAATTAAGAAAACTGAGGATAATGTCATCAGTACATTAGGTGACATTAAACAAACAGTTTCAGATTTTACGGACATGTTTGCAGGCATGAAGGAGAACATAACCGATGAAATGTTAAAGAGAAGTGACGAGATAAAAAAGAGAGAAGGTAAAATATAAACCTCAGATCTACATTGTTAGAAAATAATATTTGTATACTGATGCAATGCGAAAAATGACTTGTATGTTTAGCATATAATTTACAACTGATTGTTGTTTAGGTCTGAATTAATATAACGTAATAGTTCGTATCGCTTCATTAAAACTGAAATGAGAATATTTGTAATATGATAAATGCGTGGAACATTTAAAATTTAAAGAAGCATAAGCTTTAAAAAAGAAGACATTTTATATAAACGTTTACAATGATGACATATTTACCTAACATTTTTATGTTTATAAACGGTAGAATATTGTATAACTTTTATTGATGCAAGCAATAAATAGATAAAGGGAAAGATGAAAATCATGTTACAAAATAATGTAAATAAGAATGGTAAATTTTCACATGTAAATTTGCATGTAATTGATTGATAATTAACAACCTCGTGCTAAACAATGTGCTAGTACAAGCATGAACATATATAAATTTTATAAAATGACATCAGTTATTTGTAAGCCTTCTGCCATATTCTGTCGTGTGTTTATCTCTTGCTCTTTCTATTCGTTGCATGGAAGAACTCTGCTGTATATATAAATTAGATATGCGATTTGTATGATTTTTGTAAACTTCTGATCTATACAAACCATGAATTACTATGAACATTTATGTTGAAGATCCTGTATGTGTAATTGAGGTTGTTACCACACTTAAGTGAAATTTTATATATGTATATAATTATGCTTATAAAAACAATTTTCAAACATCGAAGGATATGTAAAATATGTACTGCAAATATGTGTGCACATTATATGTAATCTTTAAAATATATGCATTCATTTCTTATTGACAAATTTGAAATAGACATTATAGAAAATAAGTCTCTAATTACCGCCCTTTATTTACATGAAATGTTAAATTCGGAAATATCTTTATAGATAACGCTTTTTTGAATATACAATATTGGGAAATCTTAATTTGAGCATCATATTTATGATATAAAACCATAAAAAAATGTGTTACGTGATCTTTAAATGAATTACAGTGAATATTTATGTTGAATATACCAAAACGAACACATTTCCATGAAGGAAAACGCTGACTCATCACATTCGTTTTTCTTATTAGAGAACATATTCCCAGACTTTTTTATTACATTTAATCTTTATTGAATTTAAATATTTTGTCAGCCAATAGAAATTCGAAAAATTTCAATTGAAATTGGATTAGAGAAGGTTTATATAATCAAAATATTTTATTAGAATGCAGGTTTTTTATTCCCCTATTCAGAAGTAATACTACTGGCTATGTAAAACTAGGTTCCGTGTTATCAGCAACTTTTTCTGTTACAGTTCATATATATACATAATAACATATATAATGTTTACTGAACGTTGATTACGGTTAGTTATTGTACTTTGATACTTAATTACAGAATCCTTCAAGAAATTGTTTGATGAGACAAGAACCCACCTCACGAGTGACATGGAAGCTAAAAGAGAAGAACTTACTCAATTACAAGGTATTGTTTTGTTTCACATTTCTCTTCCATGTGATGATAAGTTTTCAAAACTGTGTTTCATAAAATTTCATTTGATTATATGATATTCAATTGGTTGTTGTAAAGGGCATTCGCGTACTATAATACATCAATAATCAGTTTGAAAAATTAAGAACTTATTCAACTAACCCGTGCTGTAACTATACACTGACCCTTCCATTATCTTTAAAATTATTTGATTACGTGTATATATACATGTACTTATTTTGAATACATGTCATCATCTTTATTTATCAGACATGTTTCTATTATAGCTCTATAACATGTTTTACACAGATATCCATAAGATATTTCCCAAACGCTTATATTACAAATTGAATTTTAAATTAAAGTCAGGACGATCGACGATTGATACGCATTAAAATTCTTAATAACCAGATATACAAACAAATATTAAATCATAAGAACCATGTACTTACTTTTTTCTGTACTTAGGAAAACTTGAACGACCTCCGATCGCTTTCCATGCACATTACGTGACAGATTTGGTTCTTGATACTTCAGATAAGATAATTATATTTACGAAAAGTGTGATTAACGAGGGAACAGGTTACGACACTTCTACTGGGATATTTACAACACCTGTTGGAGGACTGTACCAGTTTTCTGTGCATACATGTGCTTTTAATAAGAAATATGCCTTTATTGGTCTTGTGTTGGAAGATAACGTTATTGCAGCAAGTTCAAACTATGATGAGGATTATTACACCTGCAGTACTTTTGGAGCAATAGTCAGAGTAAAACCAGGAGAAAAAGTTTGGGTCAAATCAACATCGTCAAGTTCTAACCGCCAGCTATATCAAGACGCAATAACGATTAACACATTTAGTGGTGTGCTTGTCAATAACTGAAGGAGTATAATGATTCAACTTTTGTTTATGACATTATATACATTTTGTATATATCTGATTTTGTTTTACAAATGTTCTTTCGATGGTTATCGTCTGACGAATATTTTGATTATCAAGTTTAGAAAAGATATTATTTTTCTGTATTTATCAGTACACGTATACAACTATATTGTCGCATTTTCAAATAAATATGGTATGTATACATTTGTACTTATTTTTTATTCTTGGCACACAATATCATCATCATATATAATATCCCAGGTTGCAAGGAAAAAGGGAGATGTATGTGTGTCTGTTTGTTGTTGCAATGACAGATAAAGTCTTAAAAAACAAATTTTACAGCAAAGAAAAAACTTATATCACAAACTTTTAATATAATACATGTACATTTTTGTTTGAAAGTGTCATTTGGCCTATTCATATTCTTTTGTTCATGTTAAAAATATTCATCACATACCCGTTGCGCTTTTGCCACTCATTGAAAATGGTTTTTAAGGCTGTTAATATATTTTGACTAGTCCAACTAATTAGACTTGTCAAAGAGACACCGAAATAATTTTGGATGGGCGCTGTCTTTTTTCCAAGTCCAACCACGAACTGCATTTTTATGCACGGACGCTTCCCAATTAGAAGTTGTTGGGAGCGAAAACTGGAAAAGTTTAAAGAAATGGCCAACATTACCTGAAAGAGGACCGTTTTTTATGTAATGTTCCAAATTATCATACTTCAAAGTCAAACAGAAGTCTAAATATTCCACTTTTTTTTTAAAATCGTTGAAAATTATTGAAAGCGGCCATATTGGAAATATAGAAGAAATGACGCAAGCGGTGTCATGGTAAAATTGTAACATTTCATGGTGTAACACAGGTATCAATGGCAATCGATTGTATACGCAAACCTTATAATACAATTTGTTTCTGTTAATGATGTGAATTATTGCAGGAATTACTCTTATATTCACACACGAATATTTCAGCATTAAAAAATAAAATGTAAAAAGGAAATTCTGATTAGTGCGCATGCGTGTAATATGGCGGTTGAAAATTTTGAGCCGAGGAAAATAAATACATATTCTATGGTTTTAGCGAATTACACGATCTGAATTTGATTTATCTGTCATACAAGATACCACACGAGCTACCACTGAAATTTGCGTGAGTATGTAATGGGAAGAAAGAGGAAAAAAGACATAATCTCGCCAACAACAGAAAGCGGTCAGGTAAAAAAGTCAACAAAGATGGCGTCTAGTCAACAAATGTATCCACAAACCCCAAATCAAAATACTGGATCGCAATCTCACTTGAACAATGTTGCAGGAACTAATAACTATATAGCTCCCCCAGTCTATCCTTACTCTCCGACGTACACGAATCTAAGTCCAGTTTCGCCATTGCATTCCCAGCAGAATAATCAGGGGGATGTCCTTCAAAATATTTTATTTCGGCTCGAGAAAATGGACACTAAACTGGGTCAACTGAATTCCATTCAATCATCAGTGGACGCTATAACGGTACGGCTTAATAGTATGGATCAAAAGATCGAACAGATTGAAAATAGTCAGAAATTTATAAGTGACCAATATGACACGTTATCTTCTTGTACAAACACAAACAGAGATGATATTGCTAAGTTAAAGCACGATTTTCACGTGTTAGAGAATGACAATTTACAGATGAAATTGAGTAATGATTCAATGGTTGAGGACATGATTGACATTAAATGTAGATCCATGAGTTTAAATATGTTGTTTTTTGGCATTCCAGAAGGCGCGAAATCAGCTACAGCTTCACAGAACTACATGGACAGTGATGATAGCACACTGGAGAGACCGAGTCCCCTTATATCAGAAATCGTTTCAGGACAGGTATCAAACACAGACAGTAATGACCTAGTTACTGACCATTCAACATTCAATAATAGCACACCTTTTCTACCAAATAAACCGGTTACTGAGAACTGTATTAATAAAGTGTATGACTTTTGCTCGCAAGTTTTGAATATATCTGGACCGGAAACCAAAATAGCTGTAGATGTAGCCCATAGGATCGGAGCTTTTACACCTGGAAAAATTCGACCTATTGTTGTCCGGTTTAAAGACAAAGAATCTAAATTCATGCTTAAACAACAACTTAGAAAAGTAAATCTGCGCAATTCTCCCTTTAATGTTTCAGATCAGTTCCCACAAGAGGTCATGGACAGACGACGCGCTCTAATACCGGAAATGATCAAGGCACGAGGAGCGGGAAAAAGGGCGGTACTTGTACGAGACAAGCTGTTCATCGACAACAAGCTGTTCAAGCCAGGAACCAGCATCAACACAAAAGGATCAAGCTAGGGTCACGGAGAAAAGTGTGATTTGAACATTGTTTCCTGGAATGTAGAAGGATTGAAAAACTGTTTGAATGATGAAGACTTTTTGAATTTTGTGACAAATTTTGATGTTTTATTTTTTTCTGAAACTTGGCAGCGTAATAAAGACACTTATTGTATTGATGGGTATAAATCAGTAGAAGTTCCTAGAAGGGAAAGCTTAAAGTCTAAGAGGGGTCATGGCGGTATTTGTTTGTTTTATAAAGAAATATATAAGGATGGAATAAGTATTAGTGAAATAGATTACTCAGGTATAATATGGGTTAAATTTTGCAAGCATTTTTTTCGATTATTACAAGATATGTATGTTTGTTTTCTTTATATACCACCCAGTAACTCTATATATTATAATTTGCATGAAATTGGATTTTTTGAGTCACTTGAATTAAACATTCGAAAATATACGGAATTAGGTACCGTGTCGATAATTGGCGATTTGAATTCAAGATGCGGAAAAAGGTCTGATATTTTACAAAACTGTACAGATTTTGATAGATTTATACATGTGTTAGATGAAAATGAATATTGTATTAATGAATCTAATTTTCCTCATAGATTTTCTATGGATGAAACTGTCAATACCTCGGGTATAAAATTATTAGATATATGTAGAAGTAGCTCACTTAAAATTGTAAATGGGCGTTGTGGTGACGATGCTGGGATTGGTGGTTTTACCAATATGAGTTCGAATGGAAATAGTTTGATTGATTACGTTATATGCTCTTACGAGTTATTTCCCTTTATTTCTGAATTTATTGTCCACGATGTTTATACATGCTCAACACATGCGCCTATACAGATAAGTTTTGATGTATTTTGTGAAAATGTTTTATGTAATAATGTTATTAGTGCAAATGTTTGTAAACTTCGTTTTAAAGAAGAAAAGTTGATAGATTATAAGAATATTATGTCAAGGGAAATGCCCGTAATTGGTAATATTGTCGATAGTATTATTTCGTCAGATATTGACCTAGATAGTGGAATAAGTGACTTGTCAAGTATTCTTTATGATAAAGCCTTTTCTATTTTTGGTTCAAATAAGCATATTTATAGAGATGCAGATAGAAAGAGTGAAAGGAAATTTCAAAGCCCGTGGTTTAATGAAGACTGTGAAAATGCTCGACGCGAATTGAGGTTAGCTAATAGAAAATATAGATATGATAAATCATCTGAAAATGTTAACTTATTGATTATCAACAGAAGAAGATATAAACAATCTAAGCGAAAAGCAATATCAAAGTACAAGCAAAATCAAAAACATAAATTGCACGAGCTATCGAAAAAACAACCACAAAAATTTTGGTCTGAAATAAAGAAGCTAAAATCTTATAATAAAAACAGTAGTACGTTAAGTAAAGATGATTTTTTTAATCATTTTAAAGAATTATTTACGAGTAGTGATATTTTTAATGATGAAAATGTAGAGGCGAATTTAAGTGATGATAACTTTAACTCTAATGTTGTTTATGAGCTGGATAAGGATTTTAGTGTAGAAGAAGTTGATCATGCTATATCTTCACTTAAAAGAGGTAAAAGTGCTGGTGAAGATTTACTTATACCTGAAATATTTTTAGAATGGAAGCAATTTTTAGCACCAGTGATTTGTAAATTGTTTAATTATATGTATTCAAATTGTATATGTCCTATTAGTTGGACTAAAGGAATTATTGTGCCAGTACCTAAAAAGGGAGACTTAAATGATGTAAATAATTATAGAGGGATAACACTTACAAGCGTTTTTGCTAAAATTTTCTCAATTTTATTAGATAATAGATTAAGGAAATGGGCTGATAGTAATAATTTATTGACAGATGTTCAATTTGGATTCCGTAAAGGAAGAAGTACAATAGATTGTATTTTTGTTTTAAATTCTATCATAAACAAAATATTACACAATGAAAAAAAGAAACTGTTTTTAGCTTTTATTGATTTTAAAAAGGCGTTTGATGTTGTTTACAGGGACGGTGTTTGGTATAAACTTATAACAAATGGAGCTTCTTCAAAAATAGTCAACATGTTACGAATTATGTATGACAACGTTAGATCATGTATAAGGGTGAATGGTTCTTTGACAGATGATTTCCAAACTTTTATGGGCGTGAAACAAGGAGAGCCATTGTCTCCTCTTATGTTTTTATTTTTCATAAATGATATGTATAATTGTATGTTGACTCAATCTGATGATATTTTCAGTCTAGATGAAATACAGATGTTTATGTTATTATTTGCTGACGACACTGTTTTATTTTCATATACTGTTGAAGGTCTACAAAATTTGTTAAATAACATGAACATGTATTGTAAAGCATGGAATATTACTGTTAATACTGATAAAACTGTAGTCATGGTTTGTAAATCTGGAAACAGAACTCAAGATTATGATATATTCTATGATGGTGAAAAACTAGAAGTTGTGAGAACTTTTACATACTTAGGTGTGACGCTTTCTTCTAATGGTCGTTTTTATCAAGCACAAAAATCGCTTGCTAATCAAGCTTTAAAAGCTTTGTTTTCTTTAAATGCATTATTTGATAAAGTTAATTTTGAGATACCAGATAAATTAAAATTATTTGATACCATGATATTACCTATATTAAATTATGGATCAGAAATATGGGGGCTACATAAAG